CCATGGGCCCTGTGCCCCCTGCCCGGGTGCACCCACTGTCCCGCAGACGCCAGGTGGCCTTGCGGCGCAAGGTGGCAGCCGGACCCCAGGCCTGGAGCGCCCTGCTTGTGTAGGTATCTCAGCAGCCAGCGGGGTTCACACAGGCAGGCTCACCCCACCTGGCCGGCGGTGGCTCTCCTCGGAGTGGGGAGAAGGGCTGAGTGTGGCAGGGGCCTCTGGGCACCAGGGATGCCACGGGGCTCCTGTCTCCCGGTCAGCACTCTCCGCTTTGGCCTTGGTGGCAGTCACAAGGGCAGAGAGTCAGCAGTGCCTAGCAGGCCCCGGCCTCAGTTTCCCCTTCCTTGTAGGAAAGCCATCACCAAGTCAGGCCTCCAGCACCTGGCACCCCCTCCTCCCACTCCTGGGGCCCCGTGTGGCGACTCCGAGCGGCAGATTCGGAGCACTGTGGACTGGAGTGTGAGTACGGGATGGGGCAGGTGTGCGCCGAACACTGCCAGGGTGCCATGCTCAGCTCTGGGCCGTGGGCACAGTCCGGGCGGAGGTCTGTGGGGTCTGGGCAGGCATCTGGGAGTGGCTGACTTTGAGCCAGGCCTACAAAATAGGCAGTGATGAAGACAAGGCAGAGGAGGCAGGATTGGTGGCTGGAGCCCATCCACCCTGGGAGAGGAAGGGTGGGCAGGGCGGCCAGTGCACACTGAGCGTGCTCATCCCACGGTCTAGGAGTCAGCCACGTATGGAGAGCACATCTGGTTCGAGACCAATGTTTCCGGGGACTTCTGCTATGTTGGGGAGCAGTACTGTGTCGCCAAGATGCTGGTGAGTTCTGCGGGGCTGCTGCCCCCTGGTGGCAGAGTAAGGTCTAAATGCAGGGCTGACCAAAGGTGGGGCAGAGCTCAGGAGTCCCCTCCTGTGCACTGCCCCTGGGCCAGGGGAACAGGAGCTGGTCCTGATGCCAGGTGCTTGGAGTGGGTGGAACATGCAGGGTGGCTGTGCTGGTCTCTGCACAGCCTGGGGACTCTGCTCGCCTGGGGTGGCATCTGTGATGGTGCTGCCTGGTGCCTCAGGGGCCTCCCTGTCCTGCAGCAGAAATCAGTGCCGAGGAGAAAGTGTGCAGCCTGCAAGATCGTGGTACACACCCCCTGCATCGAGCAGCTGGAGAAGGTGAATCCACCTCACGCTCACGCCTGCACACGCATGTCACACTTGCCACCGACTGGAGCAACAGTGCAGAGTGAAGCCGGGACCCCGGAGCCAAATGCCTGCCTGGCACACTGGCTCCCCGCTCATTACCTGCTGTGCCCGCTGCCCAGAGCAAACCCGGTGGAGCGGGGCTCCCTGAACATTGCTGGCGTGAGCTTACACGTGGCTCCGTGGTGCCGTTCCCTCACATCCGTGTTCACGGTCAGAGGAGCCCGTGGGATGTGCTGCTCGCCTGTGACGGGCCCTGAGCTGTGTCACCCAAGCTTGGCCCTGTCCCCTGTGTTGTGTCTGGGCACTGCTGTGCATTGTGTCTACAGCTGGGGGTGGATTAGACACTGCTTCTGAGGAGCAGGACAAAAGAACCCGAGGGCCAGGGAGGTCAGTAAGGACACCCGGGCCCTCACGGGAGTGTCCACAAGTCCAGGGACGCCGGGAACTCTGCTGGGCAGCTGCTTTGCTGGCCCCAAACCACAGAGTGGAGCCTCCTGTTGTCCAGGGGCTGAGCAGGCACCATGAGGGAAAGACTGGGAAGTGCAGCCCATCGTGAGTGTAAAAACGGATCCCACTTTGCACCCTAGCTGATGGCCTGCAAACGGGGACCAGATTCCCTCATTGTCCTCGGCTGGGGTGCTAGAGGGCAAGGGGACAGCAGGATTAGCAAACTGTGGTCCCACTTGAGCAGGGCAAGGACACGGAGTACCCAGGCTCCACCCTGGCTGCAGGAAGGAGGAAGGTCCGTTCTGGCTAGCGGGCAGGAGGGGGCTTCTGAGAGGAGGCAGCCGTGTCCTGGGTTCCTGGGTGATTTGGGGCACTCTGCCCTCGAGGGTGGCTCTGGCTGACCCTGTCCAAAGCAGCTTCTGACATTGGCCGCTGCACTGTCACACAGATAAACTTCCGGTGTAAGCCAACCTTCCGGGAATCGGGCTCCAGGAACGTCCGCGAGGTGAGTGCAGGGTGTTAGGGACCAGGATGCCCTGTGTTCCTGAGGGGTCCCTCAGGGGGTCACCAGGGGCTCGGATCCTCCTAGGCTGCTCTAGGTGCTGGGCCCAGGCTCTGAGGTCTCCCGGGGTGGGGACTGGCTGGCCTTGCCCGTAGAGGCACCAGTGCCTCATTGTGCCCCCGCCCACCTAGTGCTGTGCCCCTCCACCCTCACCCCAGTGACATTTCTCTTCCCTCCAGCCAACCTTCGTACGGCACCACTGGGTGCACAGGCGACGGCAGGAGGGCAAGTGCCGGCACTGCGGGAAGGTGAGGGCCCTGCTGCGCTGGCCGCACCCTGGTCTCTGGGCCAGGTGGAATGGCGGGAGGAGGGTGCTTCCAGAGCAGTGTCTGGCTGCTTTGGCCGTGTGCAGGGCCCCTTTGCGGAGACTTCACCGGCCTGCCTGGTGGGTCGTGACGGAGTTACCTAGTAACTCGGCCCTGCTGAGGACAGTGAGGCTCTGGGACAGACCCCTTGGGAGTAGCTCCCCAGCACAGCCTTTTCTTGTTCGCGGGGCTGATTCGTGTGCATCTCATGTGGATAGAGGCCCTGTACCTCCCTCTGTGTTCAGAGCCCCACCTCAGCCTGTGCTAGGGCCTCAAGATGGACAGGTGGCGGTGTGAGTGTTGGCACTGTGGGACCTAGCCCGGTACTTTCAGGGAGCCTAGGCCAGGCAGAAGTCAGCCCTTGGAGCCTCAGGCATAGTATACAGTGTGTCCAGTGAGGTGGCCGAGCAGACCCGCCCTTGGGCGTATTTCTGGGCTCTTTGAAGAGGGGCTCAGTCTCCCAGCTGGAGGGGCTGGACCTTGCTGGCCCTATGCGTAGCCAGCCTGTCCTCCTGCAGGGCTTCCAGCAGAAGTTCACCTTCCACAGCAAGGAGATCGTGGCCATCAGCTGCTCCTGGTGCAAGCAGGCGGTGAGTGACCATCTGCCCTGCACCAGGGCTGGTGTGGGTTCTGGCCCCGGTCTCAGCCCGGCCCAGCTCAGCCTCGCCTGTCTCCCCCGCAGTACCACAGCAAGGTGTCGTGCTTCATGCTGCAGCAGATCGAGGAGCCCTGCTCCCTAGGGGCCCACGCGGCTGTGGTCATCCCACCCACCTGGATCCTCCGTGCCCGGAGGCCTCAGGTGAGTCCTGTGCCCCCGCTAACCCTGGCCGTGCGGCCGCCAGCCTGATCGCCTGTCCCCTACACTGCTGCTTCCCTTACAGAGTACCCTCAAGGCCAGCAAGAAGAAGAAGAGAGCATCCTTCAGGAGAAAGTCCAGCAAGAAAGGGCCTGAGGTTAGACTGAGGCCTGGCGGGAGGGCAGGGGACAGGAGAGGGACAGGGGTTTTGCATCAGGATGGGCCCAGGGCCTGAGCAGGGCTGGGATCCACTTCGCTGTGCCCCACGGTGGGTCACCCAAGTGTGACCGAGGTGGCACATGAGGGCGTGTGGAACGAGGGGAAGGAATGTCACCAGGGGCCGGGAGGGCAGAGCCTTACCGGCTCATGTCTCCAAGGAGAGTCGCTGGAGACCCTTCATCATCAGGCCCACCCCGTCCCCCCTCATGAAGCCCCTGCTGGTGTTGGTGAACCCCAAGAGTGGAGGCAACCAGGTAAGCACAGCCTTCCCTCCCCAGGACTCCAGTGCCAGTAGGCATTCCTGGGTCCACCTTGGGCTTGGTCCCCATGTGTCCCCAGGGATCCTAAGAAGGCCCCTCCTGCCACGCCCTCACTCCCTCCCCACACCTGCGCTTGTCCCCGCAGGGCGCCAAGATCATCCAGTCCTTCCTGTGGTACCTCAACCCCCGGCAGGTCTTCGACTTGAGCCAGGGAGGGCCCAAGGAGGCGTAAGGACTGGGCGGCTTCTCCGGGCATGGGGGGCTCGCCTGGCTCTCTCTGGGCCGGTGCACCCCCTGACCCTGTTCCTGTCTTTTCCTGGCTCAGGCTGGAAATGTACCGCAAAGTGCACAACCTGCGGATCCTGGCCTGCGGGGGCGATGGCACGGTGGGTTCTCGGAGCCGGGTTGGGCCGCGCAGTCTCCCAGGGCCCTGACCGCCGCCCTCTGCCTTCTCTGCCTCCTGCAGGTTGGCTGGATCCTCTCCACCCTGGACCAGCTACGCCTGAAGCCTCCGCCCCCCGTTGCCATTCTGCCTCTGGGGACTGGCAATGACTTGGCCCGCACCCTCAACTGGGGTGGGGTAAGTGCCTCTGAGAGGGGCTTCGCACCAGGGCGGCTCTGCCCCCGAAGGGCTCATCCGGCCTCCTCCACCAGGGCTACACCGATGAGCCTGTGTCCAAGATCCTGTCACACGTGGAGGAGGGCAACGTGGTGCAGCTGGACCGCTGGGACCTCTGTGCTGAGCCCAACCCCGACGCGGGGCCTGAGGAGCGGGACGAGGGCGCCACCGACCGGGTGGGTCCCCTTCTTCCCCAGACATCCCAGGGAAATGATGGTGCCACCTGCCAAGGCGGTTTTTCTGCAGCCCCTGGCAAACAGACCGAGGACCTGCTCTGTGCTAGACCCTGCTGTGAGCAGTGGGGGGCACGGTGCCCGCTTCTGAAGCTCATGAACTATTTGGCACCAGGGACACAGTACAGTGGGGGCCCCAGCGGGGCTGGAACGAGGGGACGGAGTGTTGGTGGAGGGTCCCCAGGCAAAGGCCCCAGCCAGGGGCCATCGGTGAGGCCGCCCTCATCTCAGTGCCTCCGTCCTTTTCAGCTGCCCCTGGACGTCTTCAACAACTACTTCAGCCTGGGCTTTGATGCCCACGTCACGCTGGAGTTTCACGAGTCTCGAGGTGGGCAGCCAGGGAAGGGAGGGGCCCAGAATGAAAGGTGCTTGCTCCGGGCCTCCTGCTCCACCCCAACCTGGGAAGCACCCACCTGACTGGCCCCTACCCGTCTCCACACAGAGGCCAACCCCGAGAAGTTCAACAGCCGCTTCCGGAACAAGATGTTCTATGCTGGGGTGAGTCAGGCTCTGCCAGCCTCCACGCCCCCTGTGCTCGCCGCACCAGACCTTCCTGCAGTAGCAAGGCGAGTGCCTGTCACAGCCAGTGACACCCTGTCTCCCACAGACAGCATTCTCCGACTTCCTGATGGGCAGTTCCAAGGACCTGGCCAAGCACATCCGGGTGGTGGTGAGTGGGGCTGGGCAGCGGGCAGAGCCGAGGAGCTGGCACGGCAGGGAAGGAGGGAGGGAGGCCATCCCGGCACACGTGTGCCCAGCGCTGCCCCATCCTTGGCTCCAGTGTGACGGAATGGACCTGACCCCCAAGATTCAGGACCTCAAGCCCCAATGCATCGTTTTCCTGAACATCCCCAGGTAAGAAGCGGACCCTGGGTGGGCCCGTGGGCCCAGAGCCTGTGCCAAAGCGTGCCCCTCCCCTCCGCCCAGGTACTGCGCAGGCACCACGCCCTGGGGCCACCCCGGCGAACACCACGACTTTGAGCCCCAGAGGCACGACGACGGCTACCTGGAGGTCATCGGCTTCACCATGACATCCCTGGTGAGTGGGCCCGGCCCGGCCCTGTGCCCGGTGCCCCCGGCACAGCCTGACTTGGTGGGGGTCACCCCGCTTCATGTTGGCTGGGGCGGGGCTCCCCTCACCCCTCTGCCTCAGGAGTGACCCGGCCCAGGGCCCAAGTGCCGACTGACCCAAGCCCCTCGTGCCCGCAGGCAGCGCTGCAGGTGGGCGGGCACGGTGAGCGGCTGACGC